AGCGACGAGACAAAAACATTAAAACCCATTACAAACGAGGCATTTGTTGCATCCAGTGGGGACATAATTACGGATTATAATGACTTGTACTGTTTTTTTACACGTTGCGTTGCATTTCGCGCCGCGTTAACATAAAACCATGTCTGCATTTGTAATCGGAGAAATTACAAACAACAAGCCCTACTCTACACTGCCCAAAACTCGCGTTTGAATCGTCAGTGGCAAATCCTTTAAATATGAAAACGTACTTGCAGTCTGTGAGTCAGAACAGCCGACATTGTAGTCTACACTCCCAGGATCAGGAAACAGTCCTCCATAAAATGCGCTGCACACATCTAAATATTTGGGTTGAACTGTTCTGGAACAGTGTTGTAAATACAACTTAACCACTGATTTGTAGTCGTGTCCTCTTTTGGAAGACCAAACAAAGTAGTTTCGCTTTCACAACGAAACACACAGCGTCTTCACAACATGGCGTGGCGGCGGTGGCAGCAACAATAAAGTTACGCCTTCTTTCTTTGCGTGAACATTTAGGCGTTGTTATGCAAATCTTCCCACACAGTGATGTAGACATGTGGGGGCATGTTTAAACGAGGCGTTTTAGGAGGGCGTGGACCAGTCTTAACTTTTATAAAGAATATCTCTTTGGGTTTGAGACTTTAGTTTTTGGAACTTCAGGGATCTTATCTATTCACAAACACCTTGTAACACTCCAAAGAGAAAGGAAAACTTGAAATCGCATCATATATGACCCCTTTAAGAAAGATCTCTATTTCAAATAAATGCTGCTCTTTTAAACTTTTCATTCATCAAAGAATCCTGAAAAAAAAAGAGTTTCAATCACACCAGTTAATTGATAATAAGAAATGTGTCTGGAGCACCAGCATATTCAGCATATGAGAATGATTTCTGAAGGATCATGTGACACTGAAGACTGAAGTAATGATGCTGAAAATTCAGCTTTGCAATCACAGGAATCATTTATATTTTAAAATATTTAAATATTTTAAATTGTCTTAATATTTCACGTTTTTGACAGGTTTTTTTTCTTCCATTAAATGAATGCAGCCTCTGTGAGGATAAGAGACTTTCTGAATCTTACTGATCCCAAACGTCTGAACAATATATATAATTTTTTCATAAGCACCTAAAAGCAAAGTTTATTATGATTACTGTTGTTTTTCTTACTGTACTCCTAATTCAAAACAAAATCCACAGCTAATTTTCCTAGCACTTTGCCTCGATGCCAAACTAAATCCATAGCGATAGTGTTGAATTTCTCTGCGCGACAACAACTGACATACCTTGTGATGTAATTTCCTGCATAACTAAGTTAAATTGTCATGCAGAAGAATAATACAATAACCATCCATGCCTCGGCCCAGACCTACTGTACCTCTTATCAATAAAATTTGATAAGAATGTTGTTGAAGCCCCTTAACCACAGTCCTAGTGCTAAAGAAATTCACTTGAACAGGAACAAATGCAAGAACCCGTCATCTAATCCATTCTTACCGTTTCTTTGCTGTCAGTGTCTGATTGTAGGTGTTCGGCATGAAAGCGATAACTGGACGGAGCAACAGCACTGAGGTGAAATGTGTGACTGACCTGAAGTGAGAATTAAACCGCATCCATTAGTCCTTTGGGAAAATATGCAATGCTGAATAGTGATACATTTGATTTAAAATCATTGAAACTGTCCAAACTGAAGTATATGTTTGAACAAACCTTGAAAAAACTGCTGAGGGTCTTATTTATCAGCAGTTTTACACCTTCAATCTGCTGTGGAAATACATCTAGACACAAACAATTAAAATGACATCTAACAGACTTTTCAAGGTGCCTATTTTAAAGGAATTTATGAAAATGCATTCAAAATCAACAGAGACCTTTACAGTTGCGGTGCAGACCATCAAAGCTCCCTGGGTTAGGCAGCCGTCCATCTCTCCTATCCCACCGTGACAAGGGTCTGTCTTGTGGAAAAGGGGAGTTTTGGCGCCCTGGGCGGGTTGACAAGGCCAGCACACTGCCCATGGGAACCCAAAAGCCAAATGAGAGGACCACACACTTTCAACCTGATCCTCTGAACTGTGAGAGACAACAGCAATTTGACATGCTCATGTAATAATAATCATCAATAACATTGCTTCATGCATCCTTAAATAGTTAAGAAATTACAGTATTGGCCATATGATGCACATTTCACATTATGGTTCTAAAAGCATACAAGAAATCAAATAATGGGGGGGAAATAGTACAGAGATTAACAGTAATATTAATGAATGATCTGCAGATTTGTTAATGCATTTGAGCGCGTTATCAGGAATTAATAATTGCATCTGATCGATGGTCAATAATCATGCATTTGGGAATATTATGCTATGCTTTAAAAGTCTGTCTACTTACGCTGAATAAATGTGGGTTGTGCAATTACAATATGCACAGATTATATCATGAAATCATACTAAAATGCTAGCTTTATACATGCAATGACCGCTGGAAGAGAGTAAGGTGAAAGGATGCTGAGGGATGTAAAAACAACCAGCTGATCAGTGCAGTCATTTAAACAAGAGCAACTATGAAACGCTTCCGTGCAGAAACATACCGCTGTTCATTCGGCACACCGATGAAAACTCGACATTTGAATGACAAATGAAACGTATTTGCAAACTTGTATTATTAGCACATGATATCTTTCTGATATTATCCAAGTTAGGCACTTTTAATATCAAACTTGACCTTAAACGACAGATTGTGAAGTCACGGGACACTTTCCTTTACGTTCCTCCTAGTGATAAGAGGTCTGATTCATTTTTGGGACTCGGTTCTTTTGAACCGTTCATTTTAATGAACCGATTCAAAAGCGAATTTAGTCATCACGTGATCCCTGACCGACCACGCTCCAGCAAAGCCATCTTTAGGCACATATTGCTATTTATAACGTGCGTTTCTAAAACCATCATACAATTTAATGTGCAAACAAATTAAGTATTATGCTTTTTGTTCAGTCCAAACGCTCTTGCTCACTCATCGAGACTCAATGATTCAGTGAGATACACTAAAAAGATCCGACTCAAAAGATCGATTCGCTGTACGAGTCGGACGTAGCTCGAGTCGACATGGCAGATGAAGCCACTAGGAAGACAGTTTCTGAAATCCCGCTTTTAAAAACCAATTCAGGACCAAGAGACAAAGAACTGTGGGTTCAGAGACTTCGAGAAGAATATTTAGCTCTCATAAATGTGAGTTATTGTATTGTAGCAAAAGTATTAGGGAGCTACTATGCTAGCAGTATGAATGAATAACCATACGTGTCATAGTTAAAAGTGTTACGCTGACAGCCCATCATCAGTATTGTTTGTCATTAACAGTTAGCGTACAAACCATACATAAACTTCATATAACACAATATGTACGCTTCTTACAGTAATTGTGTTGTCTTGCAGTATGTTGAAAATAACAAAGCCGCTGACAATGATTGGTTCCGTCTAGAGTCCAACAAAGAGGGCACAAGGTCAGCATTTGATTGCTAGTTCTTCTATTTAGTAGTAATTCTATTTTCATTCATGTCTTAGAGTTGTATAAATACGTCTTTCTTTGTAGGTGGTTTGGAAAATGCTGGTACATTCACGAGCTTCTCAAATATGAATTTGACATGGAATTTGATGTATGACATCTTGAATCCGCTAACATTAATATTCACTAATAACTTCATTTGATGTTTTGTCAAAGTCCAGAGTAATTGTTTTTATCCTAATGTCCAGATTCCAGTTACATATCCTGCCACAGCACCTGAAGTGGCCATTCCTGAGTTAGATGGGAAGACAGCGAAGATGTACAGGTTCGCTCCATATGTTAATAGTTTTGAAATTTTTCATCTCAATTGAATATTTAGTTATAATGTATCATTTTTGTAAATAGTGTACCTTAGTTGTTCAAAAACCATCTTTTGTCACAGAGGTGGAAAAATCTGCCTGACAGATCACTTCAAGCCACTGTGGGCAAGGAATGTCCCAAAGTTTGGTCTGGCTCATCTTATGGCTTTGGGAGTGAGTTATGTTACATGTCTAAAGTGAAATGTATTATGTCATACATTTCCAAAAAATGATTTGCTGCTTTGAAGTTACTGCATTTCAAATTCAAATCTAATCTCTGTTCTTTTCTAAGCTTGGACCATGGCTTGCAGTTGAGATTCCAGACCTCATTGCGAAAGGCATAATTGAACATAAAGACCAGCAAAACAGCTGAAAACAGTAGCAGCCTTTGCATTTCACCGTCGTACTGATGCAAACACAAATGACACTTTTAACAACAGTGGCTTGCTTTCCCTGTGTTTTCACATTTTTGTTTGTAACCTCACAGAAAATGTGTACTTCACATTCACATTTCTACATCTGGTTTATTTTTTTAACTGTAGATCATAGCGGTTCAATGTTTGCAAGGTTTCTAATACATGTCCAATGGGTTATGTATGTTTTTCATCAGTAAAGCTTGGTACCTAAATGCGGGACCGTTTTATTTGTAGGAATTGGGTGAACCTCATGAGGATTTAAAATTAAAAGTTCGAAAGTACGCAAAATTATGTAATTTCTCAGCTGGAAAGGTTACTTTAGCAGCTTTTCTTAAACGATGTATATAAGAAAAATAATCATTTAAAAATGAATTGTGAAATGGATTTCCATTGGTTTCTAATTTGTAAATTAATTAAATCTAACGTGTCTTATAAATCTCAAGTGACAGAAAGTTACCGGGCCTCAGAGCAATTGCTCCAGAGGCAATATTTTGTGATTTTTATAAATAACTATAACTCTATAATTACATATTATGTCATGTATCTGTACTTAAGTTGTTTTAAAAAATAAAATTACAGATGTTCTTAAAGACATTTAAAAGCATTGATTCTAATAATAATGTATTATAATATAAACTATATTATTTGTGCAGTCGAAACAGTTTGGTGACAAGAATCTGGTCACTCCATCTCCCAAACTGAATGCTGGAATATATTATGAAATCAAATCAAATTTTGTTCTTGGTGTGAACAGGACTAAATCTTAATAATTAATAGTCACTGATGGTAAAAAAAAAGTAGGCTAACATTATGCTATTATGAAATCTACCCGTATGCCTATAAAAAGGAACTAGCCATAGCAAACATTCCTACAGGTGCCAGATTTGTATTTTTAGCAAATGTAATCCTCATTACTTCTGCATATGAAATAAGATCAGGAGTATTTCTATTCATATAGACTGAGTACTGACTTGACTCTTTTTATTGTCTGCAATACTGAATGTTTAAAACATACATGATTGATCGGAAAAATATCTTTGAAAACAGTCATGCACTCATATACATTTCCATTTTAAACATAACATCAAATATGGTGGCACATATCAGCAGGAAAAATAATTTGTCAGAGCATAATTGTCAAAGATAACTGTGTGACAGAGAACTATGAGGAAAGTAAGCAATCTTATATATACACACTTACACAGATAAAGTAGCTTTCATTTCAACCTCAAACATCATGCATTGCAATAAACCAGTCCAACAACCTAAAGAGCGTCCTGAATGATGCATCTGTCCTGATTTCCTGAGAAGTTTCTTAACCCTACTGACTGCACTTGTGTTTGGTCAGGAGAGCGCAGATAGTCTCTCCACACCCCCAGCATGGCTGTACAATATGAGCAGGCCCTTGTTTCAACTTGCACACTGTACAAGTACCTGAGGTGTTTGAATTTGATGGCCCTTTCTTGTTTTGAGCAATGAGCTGTTTGAGTTCATTTAAGATGGCCGTGTTGGGTGCAAGAGCAATATCTGAGACCTCGATACGCTTTGGGTCATAGACGCAGTCCTCCTCTAGACCACTAGGCACAGCTTTCATGCCACAGTTAGGCGGTACCCAGGCAGTGTCATAGCCCTGACTATGCCACGCCTTCTGTAGAGGATGGTTGTCCTTATCAATTCTTTTGACTTTTCCACAGTCAACGCTTAATTTAAGCACAACTCTGTCAGTAGCTAGGGATTTCAGAGGATAGCGCTCTGCTTTCTTCTGGTCACGGCTCACATAAACGCCAGGTCCCAGCATCCCATCTGCTGATTGTTGGAAGCCTTTTGTTATGATCAGACGAGCTTTTTGCAAAGAGGTGCCGTGATACATGGTATAGAGTCTGCCTGATTTGGGTGCCTGGCCTGCCTGAAGATGACGATCTTCATCATAGGATGCTTCCCAGCCATAGAATGGGATGGATGCCATCCTTTTTCTTGATATTTCCTGTGGATTAAATGTAATCATAATAAACCACTACCAGGAAATGTTTGGATCTGCTCAAACTCTATTCATATTTTACATATTTTTGAATCATAGTTCAGTCAACAAAACTATGAAATACCACAATCAACTCTGTCAGTAGCTAGGGATTTCAGAGGATAGCGCTCTGCTTTCTTCTGGTCACGGCTCACATAAACGCCAGGTCCCAGCATCCCATCTGCTGATTGTTGGAAGCCTTTTGTTATGATCAGACGAGCTTTTTGCAAAGAGGTGCCGTGATACATGGTATAGAGTCTGCCTGATTTGGGTGCCTGGCCTGCCTGAAGATGACGATCTTCATCATAGGATGCTTCCCAGCCATAGAATGGGATGGATGCCATCCTTTTTCTTGGTATTTCCTGTGGATTAAATGTAATCATAATAAACCACTACCAGGAAATGTTTGGATCTGCTCAAACTCTATTCATATTTTACATATTTTTGAATCATAGTCCAGTCAACAAAACTATGAAATACCACAAATGAAAGTATGAAAATGTATGTTAATGACTAAAAATATTAAACGAATCAAAAATTAAGCGTTAGCGTTAGTTCTGGCAGGTCACGTGAGTCAAGCTTGCATCAGCTGATTCTCAGCTGATCACATCTACCTGTAGGAATACGACACCGATCGCGGCATTCCTATATAAGCTCTATTCAGTATTATTCAGCAGCTTTTCAGCTTGCTCCGGAGCAAATTACCCTCCTCCATCCCCAGCTCCTCCTTTCGCCACAGTCAGGACTTGGCTTTCTGATATTCCTTGCTAATCAGACTCCTTTATCTTGAATAAAGTGTTACACTTAAATATCATTAAGTACATTAATGATATCTGCCTTGTTCTGTTCTGTTAACCCTAGGGGGGTTATTATTGCTGCTCTCCCTGCTCATTCATGACAGACTGCATGGATGGGCAGGGAGGTTTTCGCCCAGAAGAGAACCATACCGCCAAACCAAACTTTATGCTAAGTATCTATCATTTTGACGATAGTGGTCCTGACAGAACTATATTTTTGCTTTTTCAAAGTAACCAACTTGTGTTTAAATTACAACTAACCGCTCTAACGTGAAATTTTACTGTTCTAAAGAAATGAATTTTTCTTTGGTAAGGACAAATTATTTCTAATTTCATTAATCATCATTTCACAAATCATTTATGCCAAACATCACAACATTTTAAAACTGAAACATAAATTCAGTAAAGTTGTACTGTCAGTCCTTTAGGTGACTTTAGTTGTTTAGATTAAGCTTTGAAGTTTGAACTGAATACGCCAGAACTTCCACAATATAGTTAGTGTAAAATATGTCATTTACATTTTTATCAATATATCGATTAAGATAGGCCGATATTATTCTAAAGGAAAACGTTACATTGTTCTGAAGTAAACAAACGTACCTTAAATTACTCCTCGCAAGTGAACAAGAAATGACATGAAACTCCACGTCTAAACTTTCTTTTTTGCTTATACTTTGAAAGCCAACCTTTCACTTTCAATTTCTTCTTAAACACGTCTTCCTGTTGTGCTGATGGAGTAAAAAAATATATATTTATATGATCAATTAAAACAGTGTTTCTTAAATTCAGTAATCAAGGGATGTCAGAGACTGTAGTTCAGCATGCATTTGTTTAATTCTTTAAAGCGCTCACTTTTTTTTAAAGGTAAAATAATGTGATATGTCAATCAAACAGTGTAGACCCGCCTTCTTTTGATAGAATACACTTCATTGGCCAGAAGCGCTCTTACGCATAAACGTGGTGACCAGTAGTGTTGCCATGTCCGCTAATTATAAGCGACTTCGGGATTGTTGTTGAGAGGTCAGTCACTAATAATAGCAGTTTCCCAACTACCTCCACTACACCAATGATTAATGACAATAAATGTAGATGTATTCACGATTCACTGATTCATGTTTTAGATGACCAATAGTTGTAAATCTGTGAAAACTATAGAATATTTCAGTGTGGTATTCTGAGTCGCCTCTTCGCGCCCTCTACAAGACATTATAATTATTTCAGTTAAACTCTATATTTCATGTTTATTTATTTCGCAAGAAACCATTAAATCAGATTTGATTGTTAACTCGATTTTAATTCCAATACTTCTTTTAGTACACGGCAAGACGCTTATTTTTCTAGTCAGATCTGGCATCACAGCCGCGGCGTGCTAACATGAGGGAAACTGGGACGTGGGCGGTGCATGAATATTTTGGCTCTAAAATATTACATCTGTTTTGCAAATGTACACAGTGCTGCTGGTAGAAAGTTTCTCGTCGTAATATCTTTTTTTCTCCCGTCTTTCTTTTTTTATCGGACTGCTTTTATTACTGTCTTAGGACAAATTGCAACCGAGCGCATAGTAACGGGCATTCCTCGGGGAGCGACACTTCACTGCTGCTGCACGCCAGCTTATGAAACTGCACCTCTCTCTTTCTCAATTACACTTTGTCACATAAAACCACCTCTGGTCTTCAAGTGTCGCGTTAGCTCCGAAACACCGGCGTTACAAGCTGTGGTATTTATTTGAATTAGCTTTCAAGCCGTCTCGCGACAGATGTTAGTGTCCTGCCAGGCTTGCTACGCTCAGTTCCAGCTCGATAGTCGAAGGGACGCTGTAACCCTCGGTCAAAATGTATGGAAAAGTTTTGTTCTCCTACTAACGTGACCGCTTGCTGGGCTGTTTACTTGAGATTTTCTGGAAATGTCCAAGACACGCGAGGTGCTACTTGTAGGGGAAGGCAACTTCTCTTTCTCGGCAGCTTTGAGCGAGAGCGACGGCGTCGGGGTGACCGCCACTTGCTTTCAAAGCGAGACTCAAATGTGTAGACAGGAGGGAGCCGTACTGAACATACAGCGACTCCGTGACAGAGGTCGGTCGTTTTGTGATTCTTCATTCTGGTCATGTTGTCTTGCATGCATGTTTTTACTCTTGCAGTGCTTTCTTGTGTCTTTGTTGTCCTGTTTTCATGATATCTGAAAGCTATTTCATCGATTCCAACCTACCCATAGTTTAGTATCTGCTAATGTAAGCATTTTCAAGGAGACCTATTCTTCCCACACATCAAGTGTCATAGCCCTGAATTTGCATGCCTGCAGCCAGCCAAATGAACACATTTGGTTGCTATGAAACTGCCAGGGAGGGTTAAAAGCTAAATTCTGTATGATAATTCTGTGGAGGCCTTGATTTCAATACAAACTCCCATTGCAGGATCAGTCGTTCTCTTTGAGGTGGATTGCACAAGCCTAAAGGAGCACGGAACCATTAAGCATCATCTTTTTGACTGCATTATCTTCAATTTCCCTCACTGTGGGCGTAAAAGTGGCGTAAAGAAGAACCGCAGTCTGCTGGAGAAATTTTTCCAAAGGTAAGTGTGACACTCTTGTGGCAACAGGGTCTTTATTATGGTGTTACATAAGCTTGACTTCCAGTGTTGTGTAATGTTATGAAACTGAGGGGATCAAGAGTTTCAAGGTCTTTTGGTGCTTTGTACATGTGTGATGGATGGATTTTTTTTCTAGTGCCGTTGCAGTCCTGAAGGACAGTGGGGAAGTGCATGTCACCTTGTGCAATGGCCAAGGCGGCACTCCGTGTGACCGTCCAATGAGAGAATGGCACAATAGTTGGCAGGTGGTTGCCATGGCAGCAGAAGCAGGGCTAATTCTCAGTGAAATCCATCCCTTTGACTGTGAAACGTATCAAGGTTACAGATGTACTGGTTACAGGTAAACAGATGTGGACACAGTCCACTACAATACGATTTAACATTGTGTTAATTGGACTTAAAGAACTTTTAATGGTCCTGTTACAGTTATGTAATGGCATTCAGTTTCGAATTCATCAAATAAAATTATTTTGCGAAGGAGTCAAGACAAAGGTTTCCATGTAGAGGGAGCTCTGACCCACATCTTCACTCGGAGTCTCCCGCACACCATACCAGAAAAACTGAAAATGGAGAAAACCGTTGGGAAGGAGACTGTTTGCTTTGAGCTTCCGGCAGAGTTGAGTAATTATATGAACAGGTAAGGGGTAACTTGTTGCTGACTGGAAAATAGCCAACCTGAAGTCTCTTTATAAGAAACACATTATCGAAAAAGGAAAACTGTGACATTTAATCACCATTATGTTGTTTTGAAGCTGTGGAAACAAAAGAGTATTTTTTTTTAAAGTATCATAGAAGTGCATGCAACTTGTGTGCTACGTATAATAACGTGGTGAGGTTCATGGGCTACAAAAGTTGCATTGACTATGCAAATATGAGTCCGCATCACTGGTTCTCGCATGTCTTGTGACCAAATGTCAAGCGTGCCATATTTGATTGAAGATCTACAGCAGAGGGGAAGATTATTAGTGAATAGCGACTTCCATATTGGTCTGTTCCTCACATATAGCTATATTATGGCCCCAAGACTTGGAATATAGCAAACAAGTCATATTAACTATTTTTATGTTGCTTTTTTTGCTAGGAATGTGTGAAATGTACCATATTGTAATTTACCAATGTTAGAGCTGTCTTGGTTGTACAGAATATTTAATTGCTCTTCCTCTTTTTGTTTTTTTGTAAATGTTTTTAGCTATATTTATCTAATCTATTAGAATCAATATCCCATTTTTCATACCCATTTTATGTATGTTATAATGCTGTGATACGATTCACTTTAAACTGATTATAAAATTGATTTTATGTTTTAGGTTTTTATTTTATTTAGACAAAGTTGTATAGGATTTTAATATTCATCGGTTTGCCGTTTAATGTGTCTTGTGACCAAATGTCAAGCGTGCCATATTTGATTGAAGATCTACAGCAGAGGGGAAGATTATTAGTGAATAGCGACTTCCATATTGGTCTGTTCCTCACATATAGCTATATTATGGCCCCAAGACTTGGAATATAGCAAACAAGTCATATTAACTATTTTTATGTTGCTTTTTTTGCTAGGAATGTGTGAAATGTACCATATTGTAATTTACCAATGTTAGAGCTGTCTTGGTTGTACAGAATATTTAATTGCTCTTCCTCTTTTTGTTTTTTTGTAAATGTTTTTAGCTATATTTATCTAATCTATTAGAATTAATATCCCATTTTTCATACCCATTTTATGTATGTTATAATGCTGTGATACGATTCACTTTAAACTGATTATAAAATTGATTTTATGTTTTAGGTTTTTATTTTATTTAGACAAAGTTGTATAGGATTTTAATATTCATCGGTTTGCCGTTTAATGGTTATTATTATCCAAAACTTTTTCACAGAAGTCATACGGCTTTGGAACAGCATGAGGGTGAATTAATGATGACACGATATCCAGTTTTGCATGAACTGTTCCAATAAAGTAATGTGGGAACATTCAAAAACAAGACATAGCTGCATGATCGTGGCATTTATTTATCATTTATATGCTCACAGCAAACACTTCCTCGATCCCTTGTTCTCTGTAAATGGTGGCATTGTAAAGTTATGTCTTATCTGTTATCAGTCTTGTAATATATTATACAAAAAAGATGGGCTTACACATACAATACTTTTGTCAGTATATGCGTATGCATAATGTATTTAATTTAGTGGATTTTTTTATACATTATACAGTATATTTGAAGCCAAATTCTAACCTTTCTTTCTGTGTTAGGCATTTCCTTGGTCAGCAGTCACATCATCCAGTGAAAACTGTCCAGGAGCAGTTACTTAGAGAGCTAAAGTCAATCTGGCCTGTGTGCACTATGAATGAAGACTTCTCAGAACTGGCAAGCTGCCTACCAGAAACGCTAGAGGCATGTGACTCCACTCTGACCCATTCAGACGTCTACTGGATCAAACCTACTGACACCTTTATATTTAACCAAAGCGAAAATGAGTCTATGGATGACCAACAAAGCTTTACTGGCAGCTATGCACTACGGCCATCTCTGTTGCTGCATGTCCAAGAGATCACCCAGAATGAGGACTTCAGCCCTGGTACTCTTCACGCAGTCAGTGGCCTAGTCTTTCAGAGAGTGCCCATCTCCCCGAGCCGTTCTCCTGTATTCCACCAGCTTCTGTTGGTGGGAATGTTCCCTGCAGAATCCCATCCTGTCCAGTGCTTCCAAGATTGTTTGGAGTCACTTCTTGCTTCTTATGGCATCTCCTTCGAAGAGGCGCAAACAGGCGTAGAGCAGCAAGTGTGGATGAATTCAAAGATGCTTTCCAAGTTTGGGCGGATCGCATATCTACCTTCTTTTTCCTCAGCCCTCGATGAAGATTTACAGTTAATCACTGTCTCGATAAACTTGGATCATTTAGCTACCCTGATTTTCGGCATTTCTGACTGGCGCTTACTTTGGAGCTTTGATCCTCGCTTTCTTAAGCATTTCGAGCTCAATCCACTTGGATCTTTCAGTCCGTTCTCCCTTTACCCACCAAGCTACTTGCATGATATCAGTTTCTGGATGGAACCAGAAAGCTATGATGAACTAGACTTCCACGCACTTGTGCGAGAGCTTTCTTGCGGTGCTGTTAAGGATGTGGCATTAGTCGATCGCTTCAGACA